CGCGCCCCGACCGGGCGGAGCGCACTTCCGGGGTCCTTCCTGCTATGGGTCCTCGCGCGGCTCATGCGCGTCTGCGGGGTGGCCGCCTAGAGAGAAGGTGCGGGATGTCTTGTAAGCTTCAAAATGCTGGTTTTTGCCCTCATTTTGGTGGGTACTAGGAGTCGAACTCAGTGTCTTCGCGCTGAGGCTACATCTTCTGCCTCGCCCCGACCGGGCGGAGCGCACTTCCGGGGTCCTTCCTGCTATGGGTCCTCGCGCGGCTCATGCGCGTCTGCGGGGTGGCCGCCTAGAGAGAAGGTGCGGGATGTCTTGTAAGCTTCAAAATGCTGGTTTTTGCCCTCATTTTGGTGGGTACTAGGAGTCGAACTCAGTGTCTTCGCGCTGAGGCTACATCTTCTGCCTTTTATTATCTTGTTTTGAGGCAAGGTCTCGCCAAGTAGTTCAGATTGTCCTTGAACTCAACTAGCGTAGCCCAGGCCGGCCTAGAACTCAAGGTACCACCCCACCCGCCTTTTAAAAATAGTTTTTGAGACAGGATCTCACTAAGTAGCCCAGGCTGAGCGCGAACGTGGGATCCTCCCGCCTCTGCTTCCTACTGTCTTGGGATTCCAGGTGTGCACCACCATGGTTGGCTTGGTACTTGCGCTAAAAATCGCTAAGCATCTGTTCTGGGCCAACCGTTTTGTTTACCACTTTGTTTACTCAGTGCAGTAAATACTGAGGATAGGTGCTGTGTTTTATCGAGAGAGTCAACGCTCGGGCGGGGGGGAGATTTTGTACATAATTCACCAGTGCCCTCAACCGAGGCAGGGCTGGGCCCAGAGACTTGCTAGTTTCAAAACCTGTGCTAATTTAAGAATAATATGTACAGACAGCGCTTTATTTAGTAGTCATTCTGCTGAAATTTAAATTCCAAAGAAAGTAGCTGAAGTACATCTGTGAGGAGTAGCAGTCAGGATGTTTTAGTGGAAGGAATGTTTTGGGTCCTGTTTCCTCCAGAGCACAGGAGAACATGTGAAATCTCTCAACTAGAATACAACAGTATGTCTGTAACGGCAGTGGATTGTTTACATGTTTCACAGATTTCTTTAAAAAATTTGTTTTGTGCAAATATTATCAGCCCCAACTAGGTATGGGAAGGAACAGATTGTCGAAGAAGAGGATGGTGCAACGAGAAGAGAGTAGAATCTTGAAGAAATACACTTAGCTGGTGTACTGAGTGAATTGTAATCCCCCCATTTGTGTCGATCGTAAATCTCAATATGATTTTATCTGGTTTAGGGGCTTCGCTGATAAAGTTAAAATGAAGTCACACAGGATTGAGGTAGACCTTACTGTTAGGACAGCTAACTAAAGTTGGTGGGGTAGTTTGCTGACCTATTTCTGACTGTAAGAAGAATGACCTGTTTGTTTTTACCAATGTGTCTCTCTTACCTGCTTTAGATCTATGAGCCTCCTTATAAAGGCTAAGCTCTAGCAGATCATGTACTTCTTTAAAGTCCCTAATTCTCTAATCATCCATTATCTAAGATCTAAGTAGTTACATGAGGGCAAGCAGGCAAACTTTTGAAACTATTGATAAAAGTAATGCTTGGATAAACATGGCGCTTGCTACTGTAGGCAGAGACCAAGGAGCAACTCAGTTTTGCCAAGGAAGGTTGGGATGAGAATACGTGATATAGCCCATTCCCGCCTCTGGGTGCTGACAGAAATGAAGGTTGAGGTGATCACCTTTGGCCAATAATTTAATCAGTCTGTCTATGTAATAAGCTCTCCACAAAAATCTGAAAAGACTGGGCTCATGGAGTTCTCAGGGCTGGATAGAAGCTCCAGAACTCAGAACCTGTCCAGATTTTGCCCTAAGTGTCTCTTTGTCTCTTTGGGGACTGAATCCAGGGCCTTGTGCATACTAGGCAAGCATTCTACACTGAGTAACATCTCTTCGATTTTTCAATTTTTCATATTATTTTAAGACATGGTCTCCCTAAGTTGCTCAGGCTGGCCTGAAGCTTGGGATCTTACTGGCTCATGTTCTCCAGGAGCTTGGATTACTGGTGTGTGCTACCATATCCTTCCCTACGTGTCTCCTTATCTGGCTGTTTATTTGTATTTTTGGTCAGAAATGGTTGAGAAAGAATACTCAACAGGACACAACACATGAACTCTATCTAGAAGCGTGATGGTAGTTCAGGGAAAGTATTTCTGGCCAAGACAACAGCAGGTAGTAATGGTTTATAGGAATTTGATAAGGCTGGGGTAGTGAAATGCTTTCAGTTACTTGTCAAGAGGTGATGGAGGCAAATCATGATATGTTAGGGAGTTTGGACTTTGTTCTGAAGTCGTTAGAAACCATTGAAAATAACTTACGTAATGGAGAGAAAGTGATATTCGTGTTCGGCTTGCATTCCTTTCCTGTGCAGTGGGATGCACCAGGATGGAATGGAGGGGACTGAGACTGGCCATGAAAAACCAGCTTGCAGTCAACCCTTAGAATCCACGAAGGAAATGACGACTGTGTGAACCAAGACAGTGTCCTGGCAAGGGAAAAGAAGGATTTTACAGAAGCTGGAGTTCGTCTTGTGAAGATGATATTTAGACTTTTTCTGACATGAAAGTTGAAAGCAGCAAGCTGATGCCAGCACACCTAGCCTGAGAAATGTGAAAGGTCCATCAGATGGAAGGACAGTGAGTGCTCCACCGTGAGTCAGCATCGGAAGTAGGTGTTTAAACTCAGCCCCGCAAAACAGAGACTTGCCCTTTGAGAACACAGGCTCCAGCAGTGGGAGATAGATGATAAACACACACATAGCACACAAGGCAGCTTATGTTGTCAGGAGATGTTAATAGGGTTGGTTTTTTGATACTTTTTTTGTTTTTTTTCTGTACTGGGGATCGAACCTGGGACGTTGCACTTACGGAGAAGGTGGCAGAACCACTGAGCTAAATCCCCAGCAAGACTGATGGTTTTTTAAGTAGAGCCTGGAAAAGAGTATCCCTAGTGAGGAAGCAGATCTGAAGGTGCAGTGGGGTCACCCTTTGAAATACAGTATCTGTTCCCTTATGGTTTACCTC